AAATAAATAAAAATCTTTAAAAAATTTTAGCTACAATCTTGCCATCATGTATCTGCTAAAGTTTTAATCATGTCTCTGCTAAAGATGAAAAGTTAAGGCCATAATATTTTTGGAGAGATTTATAATAATCTCAGTTATAAAAACACCCAAAATATGATGTTATTTGAAATGAGATGATACATAGGAATAATCTATAACCTCTATAAACCAGTCCTTTAAAAAATTTCCTTGGCATTGAAAGAACCTAATAAATAAAATAGTCCCCTATAGTACTCATGTTCCACTTTATTTTCCCTTGAGGACAGGGAAGGACAGAATAACTTCAAAATCACGAAAAGCAAAAATTACTAAAGTTTTTGAATCACTAGCTAAAAATTAGTTCACTTAGTTGAGGTTTCTTTCTTAAAATACCAACACAGATGTTTGGCCTCTCTGCCTTGAAACTCTACGCTTTTGTAAAAAATGTTCAGAATGTCACGTTAAATCCCCACAAGTAACATTGTTGCAACAAGAATATAAATACTAACAAATCCCAAGTTAGTAATAAATAACCCATTAAAATAAAAATATCACATGTGAGCCCATTTATAACTGAGAAGAGCCTCTATATAATGTTAAACAACAGCATGTGCTGGAATAAAGACAGGATCCATTTTTATGTACTTATGAAATACTGAATTAAAAAATATTAAGCACCCTAGCCCAGGTGTATTTGAAAGCAGAAAAAAACATCCATGCCTTTTTCTCCCCAGAAATATGATTATTCAAATGAAAAAGGAAAATATTCATAGTCTGAGGGTACCTGGCTCTTCTGTGATTAATTGGTGTATGCTAAAATTAAATTTAAAAAAACCTTAAAACTTAATTCCTAAGTTAATAAACAGCACAGAAAGTACTAATGAAAAAAAAGCTTCCTAAAATAGTTTTTGTAGTTTTATCAGCAGTCATAGGGTACCAAGAAACTACCTAAGTACTTTAGGGTTTCTAGAGACCTTCATCTGTTAATTAAATTCGTTTGTTCTCTATAAATATAGCAGCAAAGTAAGGGCAGCAAAGTAACAAAAGACGTGGCTTTATTTAGGTCAAATTTATTATGTTTTATTCTTCTCACAAAGGTGCTCAATGATGTCCTTCCTACAAAAAGAATCTTTTTTTAATTTATAAAATATATGCTTATGTTTTATATAATTTAACTATGCGTGTGTGTGTGTGTACGCCTAATCCATACACCAGAAGTAACTATTATTTAGGATTTACTGCAAATATGCTTCTAAATTTTTAGTATGTTATAATACAGATGTGTAATTTTAGGTCAAAAATAGAATCATATTAGATCTACTTTATGTAACGTCCGTTTTGCCTACCTAGCAATATATAATAGAAGTTTTCCATATGGGCACTTATTACAGATCTACTCTTTTTATGTTGTAGCTGAGCAGTATTCCAAATAGTTATACATAATTAAATTAATCAATATCCAAATGGTAAACATTTAGGTTGCTTTTAATTATTGCTATTATTATAAACTATTATAGCTAGTATAAAATACCTTTTAAAATAAGAATGTCTTCCAGTAAAGGTGAATCATCTCCTATCTTGTCAATTTGCTTAAACAAACTACAGAGTACTTGTTACAAGATTGCATTTTTGATGCTAGATTTTAAGTTAGAATTTCAGAGAAAAATATCCTTTGAAATGAGTTTGAAGAGAAAAATAAGCCCTGCAAAAAAAATCTAATAGCAGTACCCTAAGACCTGAAGGTCAATGACACAATGAATACTCATATATCTAGTTTAAGAAATCAAGTATTACCATTACCATTGAAGATCTCTATGTTCACCTGCCCTTCCTCTCTGTTCCTCTGAGGTAATTTTCTTTATTATTTCCTTGATTTCGTTTTTTCCTAGTTTTATTGAGGTGTAATTGAGAAATAAAATTGTAGTGTACAATGTGATGATTTAATATATGTATACATTGCCTTGCTTTTCTTTATAGTTTTACCATATATGTTGTATCCCTAAATTACATATAATTAGAAATTATATTTCTAAATAATATATTACATGCTTTAAATTTTATACTAATGGAACCATATTGTAATTGGATTGTCCTTTTATTTTTGTGCAAAAGTATCTTCTTTAAGATTCATCTACATTGTTCCTTGTAGCTACAATTCATTTTCTCTACTAAAAAATATTCTAATATAAAAAGATACCACAATTTATTTATCCATTCTAATGCTGGTTGGCATATTAGCTGTTTTGTTTTCTGCTATTTCAAACAATGTTCCTATGAACATTTTTGTGCATGTCTCTTGGTATATGGGTAAGAGCTCATCTAAGAGTGGAATCACTGGGTCACAGACTATATTCTTAATTTTAATGTAGTCAAATTTATCAATCTTTTCTTTTAAGATCAGCACTATTTGTGACTTGTTTAACAAATCTATCCCTACCCCAAAGTCAAGGATATCTCCTTTAAAAATTGTCTGAAAAACTGTAAAGGTTGGCTTTTCAATATTTAAGTCTTTAGTCCACATGAAACTGCTTTTAATGTATAGTGTGGTATACGTACACCAGTGAGAAATCTGTACATTTTTTGTGTACATGGTCACCTAATTGTCCCAGCACTATTTACTGAGTTTTTTATCCTCTTGTCACTGATCTGAAATGACAATTTTGTCATAAGTCACATTCCCATATATGTGTACCTCTGTGTATTATCTGTCATCATCCGTTTATGAACTCTGTTCTATATTCTGTTCTTTTGGTCAATCTCTTTATGATTGTGCCAATACCACACTGTCTTAATTACTACAGTTTTAAACTAATTAAAAATTGTTTTAAGTTTTGTTGAGGTATAATTTAGAAATAAAATGCTAAAATATTTCAAGTGTACCTGGTGATGATTTAAGCATACATCGTGAAAGGATTTCCATATTTATTTGTTTTGTTGTTGTTGTTGTTGATGGTTGGTACAAACATTTAAGTTCTACTCTCTTGGCAAATTTCAAGTACATAATACAGTTTTATCAACTACAGTCACCACATTTTAAATTAGATCCTCAGGCCTTAGCCATCAAATAGCTAAAAGTATGCACCTCTTACCAACTTCTCCCTATTTCCCCCACCCCTCAGGCCCTGGCAACCACTTTTTCACTCTGTTTCTAAGAGTTTGACTTTTTTTTTTTTTTAAAGACTCTACATATCTGTGATACCATGTAGTATTTATTTTTCTCTGTCTGGCTTATTTCACTTATCATGATGCCTTCAATATCTATCCATGTTATTGCAAATGGCAGGACTTCCTTCTTTCTCATGGTTGAATACTTTTATTGCTTATATATACCACATCTCCTTTTCCTATTCATCTGCTGATAGACACTTAGGTTGTTTTCATATCTTGGCTATTGTTAAAAATGCAGTGAACATGGGGGTGCAGATACCTTTTCAATATCCTGTTTTCCTTTGGATATACTCAGAAGTGGGATTGTTGTATCATATACTTGTTCTGGTTTTAATTTTGTGTTTTTCATAGACGTTGTATCAATTTACATTCCTACCAACAGTGCACAAGGGTTCCCTTTTTTCCACATCCTTCACAACACTTATCTTTTATCTTTTTGGTTAATAGCCATTCTAACAAATGTGAGGTGGTACCTCATGGTGATTTTGATTTGTATTTCCCTGATGATTAGTGATGCTGAACACATTTTCAGGTACCTTTTGGCCATTTGTATGTATTCTTTTTCTTTCTTTTCTTTTCTTTTTTTCTTTCTTTCTTTACTTACTTATATGTCTTCTTTTAAACTAATTTTTGATATCTGACAGGACCAATTCCCAAGTTTGTCATTGTTTTAGGAATATGTTGGTAATTCTTAGGCTTTTGCTCTTCTAGTTGGGATTCTGATGGAAATTGCATTGCCTCTAATTATTATTTTGGGGAGAACTGATATCTTCACAATACTGAGTTTTCCAACTCATGGACATGGTGTATCTTTCCATTTAATTAGGCCTTCTTTCACCCATAAATTTTATTATTAATTATACCTAGTAATTCTCATTTTCCAATCTAACAGAATTTAACATGCATTTTGTTTACTTTCTCTAGAGTCTCACAGATAGTCTTTGAATTCTTAATATTTAATTACATTCTTCTCCTTGTGCAAAAAGTTTGAGAAACAGTATTTGTATCACCTGTAAAGAATATGATGCCAATGTCATAAAATATCTAACATGTGAGACAGGATGGAGAAATCAGATTATTTGCTTCTCCTAAATTGTCTTCACTATTTTATGGGAAGTTTATTTCTGTAAGATAATATATATATTTTGATGCCAAGTAGAAGTATTTTTTGACCTTTATGCATGATGCTTAGCAAATACTTGATCAAGTAATTCATTTATAACTTGAATTATCCATCACTCATTACTCTCTACCTTAATAGTACAACTAAAAACTGATTGAAATGAATAATTAAAATTATTATTAAAATCTAACATTAAGTAACATACGACTGAATGTCATAAAGATGACTTTTCATTTTTCATTTTCAAAAAGTTTGCTTAAAAAACAAAATAACCTAGTATTTTTCTTTTTTTTTTTTAAGATTTTATTTTATTTGAGAGACAGAGAGACAGAGCACAAAGGGAGAGTGAGAGGGAAAAGGAGACTCCCCGCTAAGCAGAGAGCCCGATGTGGGGCTCAATCCCAGGACCCCGAGATCATGTCCTGAGCCAAAGCAGACGCTTAACTGACTGAGTCACCCAGGCTCCTCTACCCTAGTATTTTTCAAGAGAAAACAACAGTAGTATGAAAAACTCAGTATTTATGCCAAGTAATAAATAAGTGTTTCTGACAGAAATGGTATGGATACTGGTTCTTCATCCTATTCACTGTGGAAGGCACAAGAACTTGACATATCAGTAATTACAGAATCTCCTGGAAAAATAAAAAGTATTCTCAAATATTAGGAATAATCTGAAAGAAATAAAAATTACCTGTAGAGTACAGTTCATCATCCTTATTATATAGTCAAACTGTTGATGGTCTAATATAGCCCGATTTTGCTGGACATGTAAACCCAGCTCATCAGTGAGACACTGTCTTGCTGCCTTTCCTTTAAGGGCTCTCAATGCAGCTGGAAGGGTCTAAGGCAAGAGAGGCAGAAATGAACAAAAGGTATCAATGGAAAAAAACAACATTCAATCACAGAAAATTCAAGTGCACCCTATAAACCATTTAACAAAGATATTAGAATTAAACTTCCAGAAAAGAGTGGATTTGCTATTAAGAACAATTATAAAATAGATGGGTTTATCGTTATTTTTATTTGTAAGCCAGCATGAAAAATAAGTAGAACTGATTTATGTAATAAGTTAAAAAACATTAACTTCACTTAATAAAAAAACTCAACAAAACTTTGGTTACCAAAACACTCATGACACTTAGATACCTTCTTCGAATAACTGGCCACATCTCTGTGGCAAAAATAGAAGGAAAAACTAAAATGACAAGAAACACAGGTGATTTTATTCTTTTAAATTGGTAAGTTATTTAATCACTAGTCAGTTTTAATTTATGACTAGAAAATTCTACATCTCCTCTCCTCATTTCAGTATCATAATAAAGAAGGGAAAAGGACTCAGATCAACAAACAGAAATGTCTAGATTTATGCACTAAAATTCTTTCACTTTATCACCCAGAAGAATGTCTCTCCCAGTTCACCATTTAGAGCCTAGTTAATGTACTTTATATAAAATAATAATAGGCTTATTTAACTTTGAAAACCTAAAAAATATAGAATAAAGGAGCAAATAAGAAGGAAGGGAAAAAGTCTGAGAGTATAACAATATTATAGGCAGGTACAAGAAACAGGATGTAAAACCTGAAAGCAAGAAAAGCAAAAGGAAGTCTATTATAACACTTCAAGCAAAAGAGAAAATGGAAACCAAAAAAAAGTCAAAACCTAAAAAGGCTTGGGGTCATTTACTATAAGGGTAAAAATGTTACTCTTTTCATGCTTTAGCCTCTTGTAATAGATGTTCAGAGCTATGATGAGTCACTAAGATTACATTATGTTTAACATGTTTTCTTAAAGAAGGCAAGAGAATGTGCTTTAATGAGGCACATTTAAGTTGAATATCACTGTTTTTACAATTCATTTCTTATTCTGACTAGATTCTTTACAATAAATAAAATTTTATTTAAAATGTTAAATTTTGGGGTGCCTGGGTGGCTCAGTCATTAAGCGTCTGCCTTTGGCTTGGGTCATGATCCCAGGGTCCTGGGATCGAGTCCTGCATCGGGCTCCCTGCTCTGTGGGAAGCCTGCTTCTCCCTCTCCCACTCCCCCTGCTTGTGTTCCCTCTCTCACTGTGTCTCTCTCTGTCAAATAAATAAATAAAATCTTTAAAAAAAGGTTAAATTTCTAAGTAATATGTCAAAATAGGATTTAAAGAACAATGTTTAAAAGTTTAAGGAAAAAAATCACTTATCAATATTTCTCTGGTAGCCATATAACTAGGCATGGCAAAGATTTTAAATCTTAGAGACAATTCTTTTAAAATGATCAAAACAGGGGCGCCTGGGTGGCTCAGTTGGTTAAGTGGCTGCCTTCAGCTCAGGTCATGATCCCGGAGTCCTGGGATCAAGCCCCATGTTGGGGTCCCTGCTCAACGGGGAGCCTGCTTCTCCCTCTGCCTGCTTGTGCTCTCTCTCTGTCAAATAAATAAATAAAATCTTTAAAAAAATAAAAAAAATAAAATGATCTAAACAATGAAAGGACACTTGATAAGGAAAAGAGATGGAATTAGAGGAGAGGTCATTTGGCAAGCTAAACATGTAAATCTGAAAGGGAAATGATGAACGCTTACTTGGGAAAGAAGGCATTTTATTACCTTTTCAGTCTCCAATGTTTTATTTTCAAATATGAATGAGATGCAGTTTCTAACAACTTCCAATCTCTGTGCACTGTTGAAAACTGTTGTCACCTTATCCATTATCGAAACTAGCAGAGGAATGTAAAGACAACATAAATAAGTTAAACTCCTTTGGCAATTACAAAAGCAAAAGGAATATTACTGTTTACAGTTTATATGGCTGTAACTATTTACATGACCAACATTTAGGATTTATCCTTTTCCCTGGTTACATGGCATTGAAGGTATTCCATTTCATTACCTTGATTACATATTTAGGTTTTGAAATGTCAGGCTAGTCAATGACTTATTGAGGATAATTTCACAAGAGAGATTCCAATGATAAAACGAACTCACGCAAATTAATTCATATTGCCCAGTAAAACTTTATTAATCAGAAGTAAACATCCTCTTTTAACTTCAATTGTAAACAAATTGATAAATGTTTGGGGTACAGTATCATGACAAAAGTAGGTAATACTTATATGTGAGAGGACCACTAACAAAAAAGCTGGTATTTCTAAAATATTACCAAAGAAAAACCACATACCACAAAAAATCAGATTCTACAAATTTGAGTAGAGACGAATTGAGAAAGCACTATACAAAAAGAGAAATGATTATGGCTCAAGAATTGCTATATGAACTTGGGAGTGGTTTTTTAGTCCTATGAATTACGTACCAGTCACCTTTAGCATAAGATTGAATAATTCTAGTCTAATACACAGGCTAAAATTACTTAAAATAAATTTACCTTACTAAAAGAATATTAGAAGGATATAAATAAAAGTAGTATTCGTTAAATAAAAGTATAATTTCACTAACACCTATACTGTATCATTGGTACAAAAGATGTAGTATCAATAGTTCTTAAGCCAAAAAGAAAGACCCCTTATATATATTTTTTCTTTTTATTTGAGTGTAGTTGACACACAACGTTACATTAGTTTCAGGTGTACAACTTGGTGATTTGACAAGTTTATACATTATGCTTTGTTCACCACAAGTGTAGCTACCATCTGTCCCGTTATATAGCGATTACAATATCATTGCCTGTATTCCTTATGCTGTCTTTTCTTTAAGATTTTATTTATTTATTTGAGAGAATGAGAGAGAGCAAGAGGGAGAGAGCACAAGTAGGGAGAGGGGTATAGGGAGAAGGAGAAGCAGGCTCCCTACTGAGCAGGGAGCCTGACCTGGGGCTTGACTGCAGGACCAGATCATGACCTGAACCAAAGGCAGATGCTTACCCAACTGAGCCACCCAGGCGCCCCCATGCTGTGTCTTTTATTTCTGTTACTTATTCATTCCATAACTAGAAGCATGTATCTCCCACTCCCCTGGACCCATTTTGCCCAAACCCCCCCTCCCCTGGCAACCATCAGTTTGTTCTCTATATTTATAGGTCTGATTCTGCTTTTTAAGACCCCTTATATTTTATGGCTGCTCTTGGAATCTAAAAGCATAATCCCTTCACTTCCCCTCATACCTAAGAAGAAAGACTATCATATCTTACTTATTAACATCCCTTTCATTTCATCAATACAAAATCTTATATCCTTCAAATCATTTTTAAAACTTTCTTATTTTGAATAATTTTAAGCTCACGAAAAGTTACAAAATAGTACAGAGAAGACTCATGCATTCATCACTTTAGCTTCCCCCAATGGTGACATCTTACCTAACTATAGCGCTTTATCAGAATCAGGAAATCAATTGGCACCATATAATTAACTAGACAATAGAACTCAAATTTTACCAGTTTTCTTCAAATCATTTTTTTTTTAAGATTTATTTATTTGACAGAGAAAGACACAGCGAGAGAGGGAACACAAGCAGAGGGAGTGGGAGAGGGAGAAGCAGGCTTCCCGTGGAGCAGGGAGCCCGATGTGGTGCTCGATCCCAGGACCCTGGGATCATGACCTGAGCCGAAGGCAGACGCTTAACGACAGAGCCACCCAGGCACCCCCAAATCATTTTTAATGATTTAATCATGCAACACTGATATTCTGCATGACCATGATGGTTAAATAGATTATTTCACATGACTTCTGTACGAAATGCTCATTCTTAATTTGCATGCTCTGGGGCTTCCCCCACATGAAGGTCAGTGGAATAGACTGAAATAGAAATCGATCTATATTTAGAGTAGGAAACTTCTTAGAGTCTCCAAATAATCCCACATATTTTATTGAGCAACATCTTTAACCTGTGTTTATAAACTTTTAATTCTAAAATCTCTTCAGCAGTATTTTAAATTTTCTTTAGGGCAAGCAGTTAAAAAAAAACAACCCACATTTTCTGGTAGTTAAGTCTGTTTACTTATTTGAGAATTATTTGAGACTACGACTTAGTTCACTCCCAGAAGAAAATTCTTCACTTAGAGTTACTGATACTTCAGATTGGCCAAATGCCCAGCTGTGGCATTCTAATACTTTCTAACATCTGATGACAACTCTGGCTTATGAGTACTTGACTTCCCAGGGCCTCCCTTCTAAGGCTTTAGCTTTCCAATGCTAGTTCCAGTCAATCACCATTACTCTGGCTCCTCTGAGAAATGGGTGGAAACTAATTAACCTCTCAAAATGTGAATGCCTCATAAGGTGACAGAGCAATTTTACACTCATATTAAATGAGTATCATGTAAAATGAAACATTCATACCTTTTAATTTTAGTACAAAGAAAATCCTGATTCTGATCAACCCAAATGAACCAGAAAGTTGGACAGAGCCTCCTGTATTCATTCATTCACTCATTCATTCATTCATTCAGGTTTTACACGCAGGGCTAAATACTGAGTCATGTGTATCTCTCTCACTGATTATAGTGAGATACTCTACACATATCTAAAGAAAGAATTCAATGTGGATTGAAAATAAGGAAAGTAAAGAGATTATACAAAGATAATACTGAGACAATTAAGGCGACAATTCAAGCAAATTAAATTTTAAACAAACTTCTCATCTGTTCATGTGGGTATTTAAAGAAAGTACTCAACTAGCTTATGAATATTAAAATTACCTAACTCTGTCAAAAGATAACTATTTACCCTAACATGTCTACCTTCTTCATCCTCTTCTCTATGTGAAAGTCCAATCAACATTTAAGAAAAAGCTATTAATTCTTTGGAAAATAATGGCAAATTAACATGACTATGTAAATATACAATGACTATACTGTTATCCATTGATAATAAAATCACACTTACTTCTAGGTATGATGGAGCAGTTTGTAGCAAACTAAAATTCCTACCAGGAATAATTACAAAAGTCAGATAAAATGCAAATTGATCTACTTAAATATATCAGATTGCTACAGAAGCACAAGGACTGGAGGACCTAAAATTCCAGAGAAGGGAAAAGAAGCTAGAGAGGTGAGTTAACACACACATCTACTTTTTCCCTAGGAGGTTTTCCAATATTGGGTATAGACAGGAGGCTGAGAATCCAGGCTTGATTCTGGCAGATGGCTAGGCTGACCTGCAAAGTTTCTGGTGAAAGCTAAACTGGCAAAAGTAGATGTGTGCTATGGCCCCTAGGTAAACCACTAAAAGAACAACAAACAAATGTATAAACAAGTTAACAGAGATAAATTATGGAATAAGAAAAATAGTTTATTAATCTAAAAGAAAGCAAGAAAGCAGGGGGAACATAAAACAGGAAGATTAAATAGAAAAAACAACCCAGTAAATAACATTAAAGCCATTAATATACCAGTAATTATATTTATGTAAATATTAATAATATTATTAAATAACATAATAAGTATAGTAAGAGACTGGTTAAAAAAAACCCCACCACATGCTGTTTACAAGAGGCATTCATAAAGTATAAGGCCCTAGAAAGTTTGAAAATAAAAGGATAAAAAAAGATAAACCATACCAACACTAAGCAAAGGAAATCTGGCATAGCTATATAAACATCTAAGTATATTTTATTTTATTTTATTTTTTATTTATTTTTTTTAAAGATTTT